TCGGGGTAAGGGCAGTTATTATAGAGTGAGGTTAGAAAGCGGGGTAAGGGCAGTTATTATAGAGTGAGGTTAGAAAGCGGGGTAAGGGCAGTTATTGTAGAGTGAGGTTAGAAAGGGGGTAAGGGCAGTTATGATAGAGTGAGGTTAGGTTAGTGGAGAGAAGTGAGGAGGTGGGTAATAAGCACACTTCAAAACAAAAGAAATTTTCCAAAAAACTGGAAAAATTGATAACAATCATTTTTTTTTCTGTCTCTTACTGATCTCTGATACGAATCTGAGCCTTGCAGTCCTTGATTTCCTGTACTGCCTCACTCAATCCATACTCCCCCTAGAGTAAAGAAATAGTAACATCAAGTGTGATGCAATATTCAGGACCATTGAGCTTAATCAGGTAATAATTGATAATATCAGTTCAATCAGTTGATAGTAATTCCTTACCCTCTCATATTGCATCATTTGAGCCAACAAGTCATTCAACTGCTTGTCTTTCATAGCTGCAGCTTTTTCTGCCTGTTAAGAAGGGACAAACATATTAAATAACTTACAATGTTGTATGTGGTACTTGAACCTAATTAAATGATATACTTTGGTGTAATTACAAAACTGATTATAAGATCACTTTTCAAATGATTTCAAGGTGCAATGGTCATCTGATAAAAAGCTGGTTACTTTACTCCTCTGTGGCTGAGATCTGATGGATAACCTGACTCTTTCATGCATGTCTTATTTAAGAATAAACATAATGTTCTTCTTTCTACCTGAGGGGGTATACATGCATGTATTAGGGCAGTTTTGGAATCTTCAGGGCCTGCATGGTTGTAACATAGCTAATCCAACTTAGGTACAACATTCTGGCACACAACTTATTACTAGGAAAAGATTTGTTGTTGTTTAGCTACATGTATAACCCAACTAAAGCAAAAGTAAGGTGGGTGCTTGAAGTGAACCCTTTAGAATTATCACCATTATCATCCTGTCTCTAAACTGCAAAACTTCAAGCTGTTCTTTTTGTAGTGTGCTGTTTAGCTGTCTGATTCTTTTCTGCTGGTATGCTGATGGAACACCTGTCAAAAAACAGTATCTTTGCATAAAAAATCTTTTGTGTCAGTAAAGAGAGTGTACAAAGAACGCTCGTGCCTTAACTCGACTAGCATCTAATTTCTCCTTAAAATAAAACCCTGAATCAAATATCAATGTCACAAGACTAAAGGAAATAATTGAGACATGAAATATATAAAGAAAAGTGTAGAGAAATTGCATACTGATGTTAGGCTGTACAGGTAAAGTGTTCTTTGAAATGATCGGCATAGGAAATGTATCTAGAGAACAGTATAGACAACTTGCCAATTGATGTTAGGCTGTACTGGTTAAGTGTACTTTGAGCTGTAATCCAAAATCATGTGCTTTAAATGTAGCTCTGAGTTGCAATCCAAAACAAGAATTTAAATACATGTAACCACAGTTTAAAGTGTAACTGACTTAAATAAAAAATAAAATCACTTATTCATGGTACAAACTAAGCATTAGTTCTACACTGCTTTCATAGAGGGCAAAATTTGTACAGCACCCTGTAAACATTTCAGCCTTAGCTTTAGAGAGTATCTTAAAAATGTACCTTTTTCAGTTAAGGCCTTAACTTCTTCCACATATGAAGCTACCCCATGCATGTCACTTGATGCCTATAAACATTCAAGCAACATTTGACGTGTTCATGTACAAGCACTCATCAGCCCTCCACCCTTCCTCACTCAGAAAACTGAATAACCATCCTGGCAAGGATTGTTGGCACAAAGCAGTACTTAGTTCTTATTAACCGAGCGGGAGGTCTGTATGGGAGAGTCTTGACCGAAGCGGGGTAAGGGCAGTTATTATAGAGTGAGGTTAGAAAGCGGGGTAAGGGCAGTTATTATAGAGTGAGGTTACCACAGCCCTGTCCAGGGGGAAAGACATGATGTACAAACTACACCGAAATGTCACCGGTAACTAAATCTATGTGTCGCTCATTTGTGCGTGACTTAGAGTCATACTCCCATGAATCATTAATTTGAAACGTTCTACGTCGGTGGATGTTCTACAGTTTCTGTCACACTTTATAATCATCTTCGCTCTTTGAAATACCTGTCGCACTTTGTTATAAAATTATCACGCTCTGTAATACCTGTCGCACTTTGTAGTAACACTTGTCGCACTTTGTAATAACACTTGTCGCACTTTGTAATAACACTTGTTGCACTTTGTAATAACACTTGTTGCACTTTATCATGACACTTGTCGCACTTTGTAATAACACTCGTCGCACTTTGTAATAACACTTGTCGCACTTTGTAATAACACTTGTCGCACTTTGTCAGGACCCTTGTCGCACTTTGTAATAACATTTGTCGCACTTTGTCATGGCACTTGTCGCACTTTGTAATAACACTTGTCGCACTTTGTCATGACACTTGTCGCACTTTGTAATAAACCTTGTCGCACTTTGTCATGACACTTTTACTTTGTAATAACACTTGTCACACTTTGTCATGACACTTGTCGCACTTTGTAATAACACTCGTCGCACTTTGTCATGGCACTTGTCGCACTTTGTAATAACACTTGTCGCACATTGTCATGACACGTGTCGCACTTTGTTGTGGCACTTGTCGTACTTTGTAATAACACTTGTCGCACTTTGTCATAACACTTGTCGCACTTTGTCATGACACTTATCGCACTTTGTAACAAAAAAGCTGTCGCAGGTTGTAATAAAAGCCCATCGCAATTTGCTATAAAGCAAGCTGTCGCACTTTGTACTAAACTTGGTTTGGAAGGTCGAGGGCAACAGAAAAGCCTCTCTCAGTTCCATGAATTGACAATTTAGCAAGAAAATAGAAAAACAGCCCACATTTACCTTTGACCTCGATGCAGGGCTTGTTTTCTGAGCTGCCGTTTAAGCTGAAGCCTTTCTTCTTCTAACCTTTCCACCTACAAAAACGGAAATGAACATTCAAACCAAACAATTACCATTTCAGAAAAGCTTCCCAGAATACACAGAACACTAAAACACATTCAATACATGCACATTTGTGATGTACAATTTTCCCCGAGCTCTCAAAAGTGAATTACCTCTTTAGTTAATGCCCTGTTCAGAGCCACTGCCTGTTCTGCTTTAACTTTCTTTTTGTGCCGTACAACTTCAATGTCCAGCTTCTCCTTTGGATCCATTCCAAGTCGCTCTCGCAGCTCCTCATTCTCCATCTCACTGTCATTTACTTTGATCTCCAAGTTGTTAACCTGACTTGTCAGGTCTTCAATGTTCCTGGAGGACAGAGGAATGAAATATTAACCCAAATGGACAACACTATAACATTAACTTTCTATCTCCTTGCTTTCCGGTCACTTATTACTGTGTATTTGTTTCATAACAGATCAAAGGATGAGAGAAAAAGGGAGCTGCACCAGAGCCAAGAGCAAGTGTGACATGAAGTAATCGTTAGGGAGGGGTGGTGGATTTTAAGAAAGGCGGTAAGGGCAGTTATTATAGAGTGAGGTTAGAAAGCGGGGTAAGGGCAGTTATTATAGAGTGAGGTTAGAAAGCTTTTTTTATATTCTTTGTACCCTTTTTTTCTAGACTGGTCTAGATGCCGGTCTAGATGGGAAAATCTAGAACGCTTTCAAAATTGATTTCAGCCAATCAAACTCGTGAATTCGGTAGTTCCCAGTCCTTGTGAGGCACAGCCATACAATAATTTGAAATGAAAATCCCCAGAGATGTCTTGCCTCAGAATCTGGGGTGCCTAGTTCTCAAAAGCTTTCAATACAAAATTATTATAGCAAAGTTACCTGAGAGGTTAAAGACAAAAGTCAGTCACCTCTGCCTGCAGATAATTTAAGAGTTATGTATACTGTGTTATGAATAAAGCAAAACTGCATATGGTACCTTTTCAAGTTCTTTTTTAAGATTTTCTATCTGTTCATCTTTCTCAGCCACAGCCTATTAAGGAGAAATCAAATTTCAAATAAGTAACATGTGGCCGGGTTTTTGTTATTGAAAATACGTTGTATAAAAGAAAATTAACAATATTTTGCCAGTCTATGGAGTACATGTAAAGCTATATATATACCTGTTGTAACATGGCCAAGGATGTTTTGTCTGTATCCATTTGAAGCCCAGCAGCTTGCCGTTTCAGCTCTTGGACCAATGACCGGTACTGCTCTAGCTCAATTTCCTTTGCTGCAAGCACAGCCTATCAAAGAAATTTGAAGGAAAGTGAAAATTCTAGGTGATGCAATATTAACCACTATCTTTAAAGTACAACTAAAAGCCCTAATAGTATACATGTGTACATGTGCTAGATGTAAGTTTTTGTAATGTTTGCGTGTATCAAATCAACTGCACAAACCTTCCACTCTTCCACTTTAGAGTTCACAGCTGCCATGATCTGTTCATCAGTGTCCGTCTTAGTTGAAAACTGCATTCTGAGATCTTGAACCTAAGCAATAAATGGCAATGAATGAGGCTAAATGCACTATTATAGTAATTTTTGCTTTTATTTTCATCAAATGGGGTGGGGGGCACAAAAAACAAATTTCTGATTCGTTTGATGAACCCAACAGGGACAGAACATCATCAATAATTGAAAAAAACAATAATTTCCTCTGGCATAATTCTATCAACCTCTGTAGAAAGGGAGACTTTGCTTGATGCACTTTTAAGACCTGGATGGGTCACTCCACTCCTTTTGTTTGTAAAGAAGTCTAGTGGTTGCAGCTACATAAAATTCAAGTCCAGTCGCAACAATCTTTGATACTGATTTGTCACCATGCTTTTAGCTGATGATGTCAAAGAGAACTCATCAACAATTTTTTTATTTAGTAATATCTTCTGTTATGCTCAAGAGAAGAGTTGATGACCCCTAGTTGCATACAATGAAAAAAAACAAAACAAAACAAAAACAAATAGTGTTGTAATGTTATTTCCTAAAGAAACCTAGACATGAGAGGGAGGGAGAAAACAGGTCGACAAGGGAAGAAGTGACAAGATGGACGGAAGGTGTAGGCAGGCACAACCTTTACAGACTCTCGCAAAGTTGAAAGAGATTGCACAAAGGGGTTAGTGTTAGAGTTAGAGTTAGAATTATTGTATTGGGATGAGATTTTTTTAAAATTCAGAAGCTCTGTCACAACAAAAATGATTCAATACAGTACTATAATTATAAATGAATATTTTTGCATGATACCATGAGTTCATGGTTGATATCTATCTATGCTGCATGTACAAGAGTAAAATTCATTTGATAACCTGTGCTCTGAGGGCATCCCGTTCTTTCCTCATGTCATCAATGATCATGTCTGACTGCTGTAGAATGGTCTGTAAAAATGTTCACAAACACACAAAATTGTAAACACTTCCTCCTTGAAAAATGTGACAAAACTACACAAAAATTTCTACTCCAATAGAGTTTAATACAATCTAGATGCATACAATTCAATGTACAAAATAATATAATAAAATATGCATATGTCAACCCTAAGTTTGGTGTATTCATCTGTCATCTTGTCCATCTCTGCAGTTGCATCCTGAAGTTCTTTCTCTGTGTTTTTTATGCGTTCTTCTAACTCATCATTAGCCTCTTGGAGAATCTATGAAGAGAATTGAAAAAGAATTTTGTTTCATCAAATGATCAAACTATATAAATGCAAATTAAAATATGCTTCCCTTTATAGTCACAGTTAGTAGTATCTGAAAGGCTGTAACAGGATGGCAAAAAGGTATACATTTGGATAAAGCTCTTGGAATGGGTTTCTTTGTCAAAACTAAATTACTAATTAAAATTATGGCGTTTAGATCCTAATCAAATGAGCCTGTTGTTCTTCATGCTGCCTGAACACAGTTTGAATTGGAAGTTTACCCTTATTTCATCCAGATACTCAGACAATTCCTTGTTTTTCTTGGAAATCTTCTCTTTAAAGTCAGAGCCTTCTCCTTTTCGCACTACCATACTTTCTCTCTAGACATAAGAGATAAAAGTTTTGAGTAAATATGCTTTTAGAGTTTCCTTCAATTCCAAGGGTCAAAGTGATATCATGCAGGTGTTTCAGACATACTCCTCTTTTCCTACACAATGCCATTGGACACATCTGACCTGGTGATACACCAGGAACTAAATGATGGAAAACAGTACACATGTATCAACCTCTTGATCCCTTGGAGTGAGTAGCATAAACTTTCTCTTTAAAATAACACCAGTGGACCACATGTTAAGGTCTCCAGAATACATGTAAAGGAAAGGATCACTAACCAAAGAAGCTGTTGATCATAAAACAAATTCTCCTAGTGACAGCACCTTAGGAAATGTATAGAAAACAGTATGGAGAATATGCATACTGTCTAAGAGTCTAATAGGTTAACATATTCAGGAAAGTCTTGACTATTCTGTTGAGGTATACCATTGCTAAATGTTACTAATTTTAAAAATAATCATCTTGTGATTAAAATACTAATTTCTCCGTAATTGATTCTTGTGGCCACCATAAAAACTAATAAAAGTGTTGCCCCTGATTATACCTGCTGTTCAAATTGTCTTTGTATGTCTCTCAGGTCCATCTTGTTCCTTTCCAACTGGAACAGTAAATTGCAAGCATGATATTTTACTTAATATACATCATCAGTTCTCCAACTTTAATTTTGTATCTAATTAACATTCTGATCGATTTGACTAAGAGAATAAAATGGGTCTACAACTAAAACTAGGAGCAAGAGAAGCTAACAGCCTTACTATAAACATCACATACTACGATAATAATCAAGGATGCATACTATTCTAAACTAAATCATTCCTAAAACTAAATCAATCGAAAGCTTGCATACCTTAAAGACCAAACTGTCAATTAACACCATAACTGCTCCTATGTATTTATAAGAAATTATAGTGCTGTATATTCTTTATCAGTACCACTGACAGTTTAGTTAGGCTGAAAGCAAATACATGAATCTAGAGGAACTTAAATTTTTTTTTCACACTTTTTGCACCAACTGTACTCTACCAAGTATGTCAGACTCTACAACAGACAGTGGAGTTGCCTTTAGTGGTTAATTACAAGGTCTTATATGTTACAGGTCTGGAGTATTAATTTAAAATAAAAACTCTCACATCTCTTTTCAAACTTTTGTTTTCTTTTTCAGCTTCATCCAGCCTGGCAGCCATCTAAACAGAGCACAAACAAGGAAAAGAGAAACAAGGAGAAAAAAATTATCGGCACCTTTCTAGTCCAGGAGGTCCTTACAATTGAAAAACACAAGTCCAGCTTAATGGTACAAGTCAAGCTGCCTGGACCCAGCTGTTTGATGGCTGATTAGTACTAACCCAAGGTTAAATTTTTTTCTCTTTAGATAATCTAATTACAAAACTATAGACAAACAAAATTGTGCTGGATTTTCTTTAAAAGCTTTCAGATCTGAAATCAGATTTCACACTAAACCTGGTTTATTTAAACCCAGCCCTAACTAAAACTACTGCAGTGATTTAATTATACAGTTAATTATACAGTTAATTATACAGTCCCAGATATCTTTTCAATTATTTTAATGTAAGAATTCGCGACATTCACCTCTACAATACTAGAAATAATGATGGTCTTATTTTAGAAAAAGTTAAATTAGAATGCACCAAGCGCGCTTTTTTTTTATAAAGGTACAAAAATCTTTAATGATTTTAAACAATTTTTAATAATTCGTAGAATTTATTATTGTCCGAATTTACTTTCGTTTATTGTAACTATTTTATAATTTACTCTAAATTGATTTCTATTTATTTTTTAACAGGATCTGCATTGATAGCAGTTTTCTTTCCAAAACTGAAGCAGCAATCCTGTATAAATATGTTTAAATTATTATTATTATTATTATTATTATTATTATTATTATTATTATTATCATCATCTCAATTTAGTTCTTCCCTTTTGTGTTCTACCTGCTTCCCGGTGAGCTCAATGGATAGAGCGCTGAACTGTTGTGCGGGAGGTCGAGGGTTCGAGCCC